AAAGAGAGCAGCAGATGACTCCACAGGGGGGTCTGGGCGGGTGCCGGACAGGGTGCCGCAGAAGTCGTTTTAAGCCAACAGTCACACAATTCGTGCTCTTCGACCTCCCAGAACTCCATTCCCGGGCCACATTCTGAATGCCCGGAGCCAACTGTAGGCCACTTCGTGCTCTTCGACTTCCCAGAACTCCATTCCCGGGCCACATTTTGAATGCCCGGAGCAAACTGTAGGCCACTTCGTGGTCTTCGACTTCCCAGAACTCCATTCCTGGGCATGATTTTGAATGCCCGGAGCCAACTGTAGGCCACTTCGTGTTCTTCGAGTTCCCAGAACTCCATTCCTGGGCATGATTTTGAATGCCCGGAGACAACTGTAGGCCACTTCGTGGTCTTCGAGTTCCCAGAACTCCATTCCTGGGCATGATTTTTAATGCCCGGAGCCAACTGTAGGCCACTTCGTGTTCTTCGAGTTCCCAGAACTCCATTCCCGGGCCACATTTTGAATGCTGAGGCAGGCTGAGGCTGAGGCTGAGGCAGGCTGATGCTGAGGCAGGCTGAGGCTGAGGATGAGGCTGATGCAGGCTGAGGCTGAGGCAGCCTGAGGCTGACGCCGAGGCTGAAGGCAGACTGAGGCTGAGGCTGAAGCAGGCTGAGGCTGAGGCTGAGGCAGGCTGAGGCTGAGGCAGGCTGAGGCTGAGGCTGAGGCAGGCTGAGGCTGAGGCTGTGTCTGTGACTGCCGTTGCCACTGCGACCGTCATCGCGAATGCGACTACGACTGCGAGAACAGCACAATTCTACAACTGGATTCTCATCTGAATCTTAAGGGGAATGCTTCCAGATATGCTCCTACACATCGCTGTTAGGTTGCTTTGCCGGGATAATTAGATGTCATTTGTGTTTGGGGGCGGGACCCGCCGCATGGGACCGAAACGGCCCCGCAGGACGGCGCCGCGAACCTGCCGGAGCACATCTCGGGGCCCGCCGAGGCAGGCGGCTCTACTTGCCGGCGTCCCTGCACTCCTCGAGGCACGTGACGTACTTCTTGCCCTCCTCGTGGCACTTGTCGACGCACTGCGCGGCGCAGTACGGGCAGTCCAGGCCGGAGGCGCGGAAGCCCTCCTGGATGAGCACAAGGAAGCCGCTGTTCTTCGACTGCATGCTCTTCATGGAGTTCTCCAGCGCCGCCCTGGCTCGCTCCAGGCCCTGCATGTCGCCGTGCTCCACGGCGCTGATGGCGGCCTTCATGGCGCTGATGTCCTGGTGCTGAATAGCCATCATCTTCTGGAACTTGCGGTCCTCCTTCTTCTCGATGGCGTGCACTATCTTCGCGGAGCGGTTGTCCTTGGTCTTCTCCAGCGCCTTCACCCTCTTCGTGGCGTTGGCGTGAGCCTCCTTCACACGACAAGGCAACGGCATCAGCATAAACTTCCGTAGGTCCGCGTGGCATTCTTGGAACGGCGCTGGACGAGGAGGAGCAGGAGGAGGAGGAGGAGGACGAGGAGGATAAGGAGGAGGAGGAGGAAGAGGAGGAGGAGGAGGAGAAGGAGGTGGAGGGGGAGGAGGAGGAGGAGGAGGAGGAGGAGGAGGAGAGGAGGAGGAGGAGGAGGAAGTAGGAGTCGGGAGGAGGAGAGAAAGAGGAGGAGGGAGGAGGAGGAGGAGGCGGAGCAGGAGGAGGAGGAGGCGGAGGCGGAGAGGAGGAAGAGGGAGGAGGAGGAGGAGGAGGAGGGGAGGGAGGAGGAGGAGGAGGAGGAGGAGGAGGCGGAGGAGGAGGAGGAGGAGGAGAGGGTGGAGGGGAAGAGGAGGAGGAAGAGGAAGAGGAGGAGGAGGAGGAGGAGGAGGAGGAGGGGAGGAGGAGGAGGAGGAGAAGGAAGGAGGAGGAGGGAGGAGGAGGAGGAGGAGAGGGAGGAGGAGGAGGAGGAGGAGGTAGGAGTGAGGAGGAGGACGAGGAGGGGAGGAGGACGGAGGAGGAGGAGGAGAGGAGGAGGGGGAGGAGGAGAAGAGGGGGAGGAGGAGGAGGAGGAGGGGGAGGAGGAGGAGGAGGAGTCCGGCGCCGACCCCAGAGGTCCGCGCGGACCCTCGACGCGGCCGACGACCTGACGCTGGCCCCGCTGCCTCGACTTCGCCCGGCACGCGTGCGTAAGCCACAGATGCCGACGTGGCCTGCGGCTGGCCCCGGGCTCTCTGCCCAAAGAATGGCCCGAAGCTCCGCGCGGACCTCGGAACATTTGCGTGCATGCCGTTCTTTCCCCAAGCATCTGGTGCGTGGAGCCCCCAGGTCCGGAAAACTTTCTTGCACATGGGGCCGGTCTTTCATCCCGCGTCGCCTTTCGACGGCCCTGGGAGTCCCGGGGCCCGTCGAGGGCCCCCGGAAGCCGAAAATACTCCCAAACCGGCCGCTCCCATTTTTGTCGGAGCCTCGGATCTCTAGGTCTCCTCCGATCCTCGGCGTGCGTCGTCGTCGACGTCGTCGTCGTCGTCGTCGTCGTCGTCGTCGTCGTCGTCGTCGTCGTGGTCGTGGTCGTGGTCGTGGTCGTGGTCGTGGCCGTCGTCGTCGTCGTCGTCGTCGTCGTCGTCGTCGTCGTCGTCGTCGTCGTCGTCGTCGTCGTCGTCGTCTGCTTCGATCCTCGGCGTGGCGCGCGCTCTGCTCGAGGTGCGCCAGCCGTGCCCGCAGCGACGCCACCACGTGCGCCACGGCGGCGCTGTGCGCCTCCACGGCCGCGCTGCGCCGGCCGCCGCCGCCGCCGCCGTGGGCGTCCAGGAAGTTCGCCACCTGCGCGACGAGCGCAAACGGGCCCAAACTACGCGACCCTGGGATCCGACGTTGCGAAACATCGCCGCATCGTGAGACATCCCCCCCCCCCGAGCCCCGGACCCCATCTTTTTCGGCGTCCTTTTTTCGAGCCGGCTCGAGCTGGGAGGGTCCCGAGGCCCGAGATGGAGCGAAGACGCCGGCCGTGAAAGAATTGCGACGCCAGGAGCTCAGGGGAGATATCGGCTACGCGTAAGAGTGACCCTGGGTAAGAGTGACCCTTGGTGCGCGGCTTTGGGGGGGCCGCGGGGAGGCCAAGTCCAGGCGCGTCAGCCGTTGCTGCCGCTTCGCGTTCAGCCGTCTGGGGGCCCATCTGTGCCCGCACCAGAAGGTCACTCCGGCGAAAGGTCACTCTTACGTCTAGCTGGAGACCCAGACCCCCGACGTCATGATTTTTTCATGACGCGACCCCCAGAGGTCCCGACCCTTTCCCCGGGACCGGTTTTTCGTCCTGAGTCGTTTTCTGACGGTCCCGAGGCCCGGGAAGGGCCCGCGGAGGCCGAAAATAGCGAAAAACCTCCCGTCGTGATTTTTTCACGACGCGAGGAGGTCTGGGGACAGCGCAGCGATCCTCCGAGGTGGCTTGCGAGGGCCGCCGGCGTGGCCCGTCGGTGGAGACGAGGGCGCTCTCGTGCGACCCGGCTCGGGCAGCCTGGGCGCCGCTGCCGGAGGAGGGGGAAGGGGGCGGAAGAGAGGGGGGAGGGGGAGGAGGGGGCGGGGGAGGAGTGAGGGGAGGAGGAGGAGGAGGAGGAGGAGGCACGAGGAGGAGGAGGAGGAGAGAGGAGGAGGAGGAAGAGGAGGAGGAGGAGGACAACGAGGAGGGTCGGGCGGAGTGGGCCCTCCGGCCGCGCCAGAGCAGGCGGTCGGCCAGAGGCCCGGCCCGAGATCCGACGTCAAGCTGGCCAGCTCGAGCGAGTCAAGCATGGCATGCCCATTCCCACCCGCCCTCCCACAACACAAGAAACAGGGATGGCACAACTGGGGGCTGCGCGGGCATGTCAGTGTCGCAGGTCCCAGAGCGCTGACTTCCAGGTCCCAGAGCGCCCCAGGAACGCCCCAAGAGAGCCGAGATGCCCCCGAGACGATCCGAGGGGCCTTGAGTCGCCGAAAAATCGCTCCAAGACGCCCAAGATGGCCTCCAGACGGGCGCAGACGCCTGACCAAGAACCGCGGGGAGCCTAGGAGGGGCCCTCCAGAGCCTGAACAAGCAAAAACCTCCCAGGCATTCGTCACCCCAGGGCCTCCTGGAACGCCCTGGCGCCCAATGAATTGGCGAGCTAAAAACGTGCGCCGAGCCAAAGCGGGAGCGCAACTTTGAGAAAATTTTGCTCGGCGCCCAAGCGGGAAGGTCATTTCATTCACTTCGAGCGGGGGGGGGGGGCCGCGCCCAATTCTTGCCATGCACTTTTGCGGGGTGGACGACAAGAACAGCTATGTGGGCAGGGAAAATCAGCATGGGCAGTGGGCACGGAAAATCAGGTGGCCCCTCCCACCTTGGGGTTGCCCCAGAAGTCCGCGCGCGATGTGCGCCGCGCCCCATTCCTGCCACGCATTTCGCATCGTCGACGACAAGACAGGCCATGATGAAAGGAAAAACGGCAACTCTGCATTGTTTTTTACAGTCAGGATGGGAGGGCCCGCAGCCCGCATGGACGTCCGCGCGCGATGTGCGCCGCGTCCCATTCCTGCCTCATATTTCGCACCGTCGGCGACAAGGCAGGCCATGCTGAGAGGAAAAACAAAGACTTTGTATGGATATTTTACAGTCAGGATGGGCGGGTTCGGATTGACGGCCGCGCGCGATGTGCGCCGCGTCCCATATGTGCGCCGCGTCCCATTGCTGCCACATATTTCGCACCGTCGGCGACAAGGCAGGCCATGCTGAGAGGAAACAACGGAGACTTTGTATGGATTTTTTACAGTCAGGATGGGCGGGACCAGATTTACTGCCGCGCGCGATGTGCGCCGCGTCCCATTCCTGCCACGCTTTTCGCATCGTCGACGACAAGAAAGACAATGTTGAGAAGAACAACGGCCACTTTGTATTGTTTTTTTACAATCCGGATGCGAGGTCCCCGATTGGGTTGCTATCGGCCGGAATATGACGTAGGTAGGGGTATATAGTAATAAAGAACAAGGATGAGGGGGAGGGGGAGGAGGAGGAGGAGGGGGAGGAGGGACGGGGGGGTGAGGAGGAGGAGGATGGAGGAGGAGCAGGAGGAGGAGGAGGAGGAGGAGGAGGAGGAGGGGGAGGAGGAGGAGGAGGAGGAGGAGGAGGGGGAGGAGGAGGAGGAGGAGGAGGACCAGTGTAAACCCAAGAGCCATCAACGATGTTGGAATCAACCCTCCCTCCAAGCTCCCTCTTCATGGGCCCCTACATCGGTTCATTGCAATTGAAGGAACTGCCCCTTCGGAAGACAATCGTTTAAAGACCCTGAAGCATGCCAAAACATTGGTCTCGGGATTCCAACGCAACGGATCAACCTGACTGTTGCGTCTTGACAATCCTGAATCGTGCCAGAACACCATTCCTGGGACTTCAGCACAGCGAATCAACATAACTGTTGCACCCGCATAATCCTGAACCCTTTCAAAGCACAATGCTGGACACGTTAATGATGGGAACCCGCGTAACCCTTGTAGTTTCTTAGAACGAATGTGCGCCGCGCTAAGGCGAGATCTACATTTTGAAAAGGAACCGCCCTCAATCCGTGAAGCTCTTGCAATTTGCTAGAACGAATGTGCGCCGCGCTAAGGCGAGAACCACATTTTGAAAACCACCCGCCCTCAATCCGTGACGCTCTTGATTTATTTAAACGAATGTGCGCCGCGCTATGGCGAGAGCCACATTTTGAAAACGACCCGCCCTCCATCTGTGAAACTGCTGCCAAGTCTTGAGCTCCAGAATCATACATGGTGAGGAAGTCTCAGGCGAAGCGCCCGGCCCGCCCTAAAAACTGGCCTCGGGGTGCGACAGGAAGAAGTGTTACTCATAAGGCAAAGGAATGGAGGAGGAGGAGGAGGAGGAGGAGGAGGAGGAGGAGGAGGAGGAGGAGGAGGAGGAGGAGGAGGAGGAGGAGGAGGAGGAGGAGGAGGAGGTAGCCCCGTCTTCTTCCATCGCCCACCTGCTGGAACAGCGGGGTCTTCGTGTCCCTGCCGGCGAGGACCGCCTTCCCAGACCCCCTCGGTGCGTCTGGGCCGGGCCTTGGCCTCGGGGGGGCCCGCGCGTTGGCCCCCCCGGGACCGTCGAGGAACGACTCGGGAAGAAGACCTCTATGAAGGGGCCCCAGGACACACAAATAAATACACACAAATAAACATATTCCCCATATTTTCTTATATTTTCGGGATTTTTGTCTTCCCTTCCCCTTCCCATATTTCCCCATATTTTCCTGGGAATCGACGATTAATTGTGTCTGTGTGTTTTTTCCCCTCCTGACTCTGGGGGGGGCCCACGTCGTGGAACGATCGTAACCTTGGGGGTCTGGGTTCTCAGAGGAGGGAAAACAGCACCGATGCCGCTGCCCTTCTCTCTGTCGCTCGTGTGGGGCTTCCCGCGGTGCCATCGCCGCTGCGGTTGGCTTCGCCCTGAAATTCTGGTCAGAGCGCACCCCAGGAGAGGTCCGGAGAGTAGCGGTATCGGTATGGCAAGTTCGTGCCGCGCCGACTTCGGCGCTGGTTCCTGACACCGCGGGGATCGTTCAGCCTCGAGCGATCGGCCGTTTCCGAAAAGTCAGATCGTACAAAATCGACCGATTCTGGGTCGCCAGCGGCGTTACGTGTTGAACGCCGGCGGCGGGGTCGCCGACGGACGACACGACGCGAACCTGCCGTACCTTTTGCTTTGCCCAGCCTTGCTGGCGGCGAGGCCCACGAACTCGGGGGAGCCGAGGACCTCGAGCTGTTTTTGCATGGGCTCGCCCTTCTGCGCCATCAGGACGCCCAAGAGCAGGCTCTCTCGCTGCTCCTCCCCCTCCTGCATCAGCCGCATCTGCTGCTGGTTCAGGTCCTTGACCAGGCTGGTGACGCTGCCCATCACCTCTTTCAGCTGCTCGAGCGACTTCTTGTCGCTCTTCCCAGCAGTGCTGTTGACGACTGCCCGGACCCTGGCGTTGAACTCCACCATCTCCGGACCCAGCTCTGTCTTGGCCAAGGGGCCGCTTGGGTCTATGATCCTGCTGAGGCCACTTGACATCTTGAGCAACCTCTCGCGGAGCGCAGCGATCTGCGCGGCGTCGGTCCCGGCCGTGGGCCTCGACGCGCTCCTGCTTGCTGGCTCCGTGCGGATGCTGGCGGCGCGCGCCAGGGGGGGGCAGCGTGAGGGAGGGGGATGGCCTGCTGAGAATGAAGGGGAACTGGGACACACACAAATAAATACACACAAATAAGAATATCTTGCATATTTTCCTATATTTTCTGGGTTTTTGTCTTCCCCCCCCCCACTTCCCATATTTTCCCATATTTTCTGGGAGTCGCCGATTAATTGTGTCTGTGTTTTTTTTTCCCTCCTGAGAGAAGGCGGCGCGCGTCCGAGGAGGCCGAGGCCCTCTGTGGAGGGCCCGGAGGCCTCCGAGCAGGCTCCTCGGACGCCGGGAGGGGGCGTCCGAGCAGCAAAGGAAAGGTGCACGGGGCTTCGATCCTTTTGCTCATTGGGGGGGGGGAGGGGGAGGAGGGGGAGGAGGAGGGGGAGGAGGAGGAGGAGGAGGAGGAGGAGGAGGAGGAGGAGGAGGAGGAAAGGTGCACGGGGTCAACAAGATTATGACAGCCATGAGAAAAGAGGGCCTCCTTGGCAGGCCGCCGCCCCCCTCGCTCAGGAGCGCCCCCCCCCGAGGGCGCGCCGCCGAGGGTTCTCGAGCCGCGGGCCGACCACAGCATGAGCACGGCGAGGGCGCACGCGCGGAAGAGCATCGTTGTGGCGGATAAGTTGAGGGATGAAAAAACGGCCCTACCCTGGGTTACAAGTGCGTGGTCTGTAAACCTCCTGGGAGCCCCCCAAGCCTAGAGCCGCCAGGACGCGGCACATCACGCAGGGTTTACCCTGTCAGCCCACAGGAGTTTCAGCGCACAGCGCCTCGTAAACCAGGGTAGGGGCGTTTTTTCATGCCCTTGAATAAGGGCTCGCGCTTGCGGGCAAGGGTGCGGCAGTCTTGCGGAAAGGCAGATCTGGGCCACAGTGGCAGCGAGGAGGCAAGGGGAGAAGAGGCGAGCACCGCGGCCGAGATGGAGCGCGGAGCGTCGGTGCCGATCGCGGTCACCGTCCATTGTCGGCGTCAGCTCGTGGACCATCCTCGCGGATCGGCGACGGCGGGCGTGGACCACGACCAAGGTCGGCGTCGACGAAATCCCGTGACACGTTGGTCATGGTCCCCGTACTCCTTCCCCCGAGAAAGGACAAGGGCGGAGGCGGAAGAAGAAAGGCGAGGTAGTTCGTAACCCAGGCGGCCCGCTCGAGAGTCCCTGCACCCAGACTTGCTGACATCGCCTGGAGTGCTGGCTTCTCATCCTTCTGCCAGCTTTCGCCAACAGAGCTGTGCCTCCCGATCTTTTGGGGGACCGCGCGACGGTCGCAGGTGCGTTCGACCTCTTGCTGCCGACCTGAGCAAGCTCATGATTCCAGGCCTGCGCCGATGCGTTTTTGCCCAAGGGGGCGTTTTTTCATTCGGCGTTTCGGCATTAGGCGGAAAGGGGGTGTCTGGCTCCGGATCTCTGCGTACGTGATGCGACTGTTTGCAGCAGTGCGTCCTGTGGGGGAGACTCCACCTGCAAGAAACAGGCGCTCCAAACAGCCAAGATCTACTCTAGTTGGGGAGGGGGAGGGGGGTGCGATAGCAGCCACATGCGAACCCTACCCTACCACACGATTTATGAGGGGGAGGGTGGGGTTCACTTCGCCCTCCCCCTCAGAAATCGTGGGGGGTAGGGGTAGGGTTCGCATGTGGCCCCCTAGTGCGAGGGCCCGCGCCGATCGGTAAAATAATGAACAAGAGCAAGATCTCCAATCGCGGCATTCGGTTCTCTGTTTCGGCCTCCAGTGGCCGCTTCCAGCCCCTGAACCCGCAGACACTGACCCGGGGACGAGCAGCTGCCCCTGGGGAAGAGGTCGAGACCTCCAGGGCCGAGCCTGGGGAAAGTCACGTCCTCGCATGAAGGAGCAGTAGGAGGAGGAGGAGGAGGAGGAGGAGGAGGAGGAGGAGGAGCAGGAGGAGGGGGAGGAGGAGGAGGAGGAGGAGGGAGACAGGAGGAGGAGGAGGATGAGGAGGGAGGGGAGGATGAGGAGGGTGGGGAGGGGGGGGAGAGGAGGAGGGGAGGAGGAGGAGGAGGAGGAGGAGGAGGAGGAGGAGGAGAGGAGGAGGAGGAGGAGGAGGAGGAGGAGGAGGAGGAGGAGGAGCAGGAGGAGGGGGAGGAAGGAGGAGGAGCAGGAGGAGGAGGAGGAGGAGGAGGAGGAGGAGGGGAGGAGGAGGAGGAGGAGGAGGAGGAGGAGGAGCGAGGAGGAGCGAGGAGCGAGGAGAAGGAGGGGGACGAGGAGGGGGAGGAGGAGGAGAAGGGGGAGGAGGAGGAGGAGGGGGAGGAGGGGGAGGAGGAGGAGGAGGAGGAGCGAGGAGCGAGGAGGAGCGAGGAGGATGAAGAAGCTCTGGGATGGTGGGGGCCCAGAGGATCGGGCACACGCCAACATGGATCACGGGTCCGTGGATCTGGCCAGCGGGCGCCAGATCCACGGATCGGGGGAAGTACCCCCCCCTCTCCTGTCATGAGAAAGTCACTACGTTTTTTTGTTGCTGCTGTTTTTGCGGCTGTTGTTGATGTTGTTGTTGCTGCTGTTGTTGCTGCTGTTGTTGACGATGCTTTTATTATTGTTGTTGTTGTTGTTGTTGTTGTTGTTGTTGTTGCTGCTGTGATTGTTGCTGCTCCTTTCGCCCTCTGGGGGGCCTTGCTGGCCCTCGGAACCGTAAAAAAAACGACCCGGGACGAAGCACCTGCCCCAGGGAGTGGGCCCCGACCGCTGGTGGTCCACGGCACGGAGACGACCGCGACGTCGGGGGCCTGGGCTCCCTCCCTCAGGACATTGAGCGCCCCCGCCGCCCGATTTGGCGACGGAGGGCGCCGGGTGTTCTTGTGGCAGCGGGGCGCCCGCTGCTGCTGCAAGCGAGCGCCCTGGTGCATGCCTGCGCGTCCTCGAGAGGTCTCGAGTAGGAGATCGACTGCAGACTCGATGCGCACCATTATGAAGTGGTGTCGTCGAGTCTCGCACCAAGAAAATGGCATAACCGCCGTGGGCCTACCAGCATTTCATGCTGTAGTCGATGGGGTGAGAGTTTCAAGTTTGGGGTAAACCAAACCAACGTAGCCTTGGTCGACTCGGCGGAGAGTGCAAGTCTGGGGTAAATCAGTCCGGGAGTCGATTTGAAGAGGAACCGCCGCTTCGGCCCACCAGTCATGCACAGTCAGCCCCGCCCACCCCCTTTCCCGAACCTGCCACATGCCCATACATCGGGGATGGACAGAGCCCCCTTCAGTAAAACGTGGTTTAGTGCAGACGACCTCGGGCCCAAACCTGGCGGGCGCAAGCCTGGAAAATTGCGGCCGCGGCGCCCTCTCGAGAACCGAAGACGGACAATTCACTAATCGACGTCTCAGGGTGTGGGTTCTGTCAACAGGCCAGCGGCCAGAGCAGCCCTCGGGCAGGGCACACGCGAAAAACGGCGGCCCTGCTCCTCCTCCTGCTGCTGCTGCTGCTCCTTCTCTCCTCCTCCTCCTCCTCCTCCTCTCCCCTCCTCCTCCTCCCTGCTGCCTGCTGCCTCCTCCTCCTCTCCTGCTGCTGCTGCTCTGCTCCTCCTCCTCCTCCTCCTCCTCCTCCTCTACTCCTACCCTCCTCCTCCTCCTGCTCCTCCTCCTGACTCTGTCGCCTCCTGTTCCTGCTCCTCCTCCTCCTCCTCCTGCTCCTGCTCCTCCTCCCACCCTGCTCCTCCTCCTCCGCCCCTCCTCTCCCTCCTCCTCCGCCTCCTCCTCCTCCCCTCCCCTCATCTCCTCCCCTCCTCCTCCTGCTCTCTCCTGCTCCTCCTCCTGCTCCCCTGTCCTCCTCCTCCTCCTCCTCCTCCTCCTCCTCCTTCCTCACCCCTCCTGCTCCTCCTCCTCCTCCTCCTCCTCCTCCTCCTCCTCCTCCCGAAACCCGAAAGATCCAAATGAAATCACATGGGTCCCTCATTTCTGGTCCAGACCCCCCCCCAACATCCCAAATGAAAACACAGGTTTGCGATGTCAGGGGTGCAGAAACCATATTTTCATGTTGATGTTTGGGCTTTCTGGGGTTAGAAATGAGGAAGTCATGTGTTTTCACTTGGAGTCTTTGGATTTTTCTGATGTTCCTCAATTCTGCGAAAATCAAAACCAAGAGCCCTCGCAGGAGCTCCGATACCCATAATCCCAATCATCATAACAACTAATATGTAAATACATGGTTTCCTCAGTTCTCATCCCAGGAATCCCAACCATCCCAGCGACAACTCCAGACTTTCACACCCCTGACATCGCAAACCTTGCGTTTTTCCATGACTGGTGTTGGGTGTTTGGGAGCGAGTGAGAGAGAGGGAGAGAGAGAGAGAGAGAGAAACAACAACAAGAGAGAGAGAGAGAGAGAGAGACAGGGACAGAGGGAGAGAGAGAGAGAGAGAGAGACAGAGAGGCAGATTCCAGATCCAGCTGATTCTAATTTGAGCCCCATTGGAATTCAATGAATATGTAATTGGAATTGGGCACATCCCAGATCCATCTGAGTCCAATTGGGATTCCTATTAGAATCGAATTCGAATCTCAGTGGAATTGGGCAGATCACAGATCCAGCTGCTTCCAAATAGAGTCCAACAAACATCAACTTAGAATTTAATTGGAATTGAGCAGATCCCAGATCCAGCCGATTCCAATTTGGTCCCTATTAGGATCAAATCAGAATCTAGTTGGACTGGGGTAGCTCTCTAATTCGAATTGGGCAGATCCCCGATCCAGCTGGTTCCGCATGGATTCCGATTGGAAACTAATTCGAATCGGATTAGAATTGAGCAGATCCTTGATCCAGCTGCCTCCAATGTGATTCATACTGGTATCTACCAATAATCTCATTGTAATTGCGCAGATCCCAGGCCCAACTGCTCTTGATTAGATCCCACAGCGAGAAAACAACGGATAACAAACGACTGCGACAGATGGATGAGCAGGCACGGATGCAAAGAAGCCAGATGCTCAGCAAGAGTACACATGAAGAGCTCAACGACCAATGCAAAGTGAATGGGTACTGGGGGGCTGCATATATATATATGTATATATATACACATATATATACAAACATGTGTCTATACAGATATACGAAATATGTAATATTCCACTCGCGCGAGCGGAAATAAATGCGCAACGGCGCGCACTTAACTTCAGAATTGATGTCGGATATGGTGTGTAATGCTCTTGCCATGTGCATCCTTCTCTCGACCCGATCGTCCGCAGGTGCTGTCGTATTGCCACGCTCGCCGCAGGCCACGCTCTCCTCCAGGAGGCCGTCCCACAACGGCTCGAAGTCGCGACGGTGCGGGTATGGCTGCACGCCATCAAATGCATGTCGCCTTCTACTGCACGTGCACATTTGCATGTACGTGCAAATGCCACATGCCGCATCCCATTACCATATCATCGCCGTTGGGCGGCGCCGACTGCCACCGAGCCGTTGACCGTGCAGGTCCCTGTGACCTTGGCGTGGGCACTGCCTCTCGGGGAGGTGGACGCGGCGCCCCATCGGCACCCGTGGAGCGAGGAAGAGCAGGGGAAGATGACAGTGTCTTTTTCCTCGTGCCGGGCGCCGTTGCCGATGCGCCCGCACACAGCATGTTCCTGCAGTGTGACGGCGTCGGTCCTACCTGCTGGCACCACGCCAGCCCTTCAACCTCGAGCGGCCTCCTGTGTCGGACGACCCCAGAGGCCCTCGACCCCAGCTGTCGCGGATCCCGTGCAGCATCTTCTTTGTCTGTTTTTTTTTGCTACTTTTTAGATGTCATTTGTGTTTGGGGGCGGGACCCGCCGCATGGGACCGAAACGGCCCCGCAGGACGGCGCCGCGAACCTGCCGGAGCACATCTCGGGGCCCGCCGAGGCAGGCGGCTCTACTTGCCGGCGTCCCTGCACTCCTCGAGGCACGTGACGTACTTCTTGCCCTCCTCGTGGCACTTGTCGA